GAAAGGCCATTTGTAGGTGTTCCTTCCATTCCACTGAAGCAGCTGAATCATAAGCCAATAGCCAGCATCAACTGTCAGCCATGTAAGTAAGCCATCTGGCCATCCAGTCAAGACTTTAAATGACTCCAATCCTAGATGCTACCTGACTGCAGCCACATTACTAAACTTAGAAAAACGCCACCTGAGCTCAGTCAACCCACAGAGCCATGAAAAAAGAGTAAGAAGCTATTGTTTTAAGTCAAAGTTTTCAAGGATTTTTTATGAGGTAATAATAAAAAACAGAGGTTAAAAGAAGTTATTTAGCAGAGGGAAGATAATATCAAACAGAAACATGAATTTATACAAAGAAATTAAGAGCACTGGAAATGGAGTAAATAAAGGTGAAATAAAACTCATTCTTTTCTTAAGTTATTTTAAAAGATAACATGTGAAAGCAAAAATAACAGCAATGTATTATGTATTTATAGTACTAGCTACAGTAAAATTATTCCCATAATAGAACATGAATGGGAGGGAAGAGTCTACAAAAAAAACAGATCTAATAAGTGAATTTAACAAGATCGATATACAAAAACCAATACTATTTATGTATCCTACCAGCCAGCATGTGGAATTTGAAATTTACAAAAAGTACCATTTATAATAGTATCAAAAAATATGAAATGCTTATAAATTTGGCAAAAGATGTTCAGGACCCCTATGCTAGAAAATACAAAAAATGGAAAGATATGCTGTGTTCACGAATCAGAAGACTCAATATTGTTAAGATGTTAATTCTTCTCAAATTAATCTTTAGACTCAATCAAAATTCCAGTAGACTTTTTTGTAGAAATTGACAAGCTCATTTAAAACTTATATGGAAATGCAAAAGACCTAGACAACTGAGACAAATTTGAAAAAGACTAAAGTTAGTGAACTTTCATTATCTTATATCAAGACTTATCATAAAGCTACAGCAGTCTGTAAAATGTGATGTTGACAAAAAGATGGACACATAGGAGTACCTATGTAGTGTGGTGAATATAGTTAACAATACTGTATTGCATACCTGAAAGTTGTTAAGAAAATAAATCCTAAATGTTCTCTCTGTAACAACAACAAATGGTAATTATGTGAAATGAAGAATATTTTAACTAAACTCATTGTGGTAAACATTTTGCAACATATAAATGTATCAAATCATCACACATCATATCTTAAACTTAGTTACATGTCAATTGTATCTCAATAAAGATGGGGGAAAAAGACATATAAATCAATAAAGCATAATAGAGTTTAGAAATAAACTCACACATGTATACTGATTTTCAATACTCTCACAATTCAATGAACCAAACAACCCAAAATCAAACAACCTAAACAAGGCAAACAACCCAAATATCAAATATATGCAAAATATTTGAACAGACACTTCACAAAAAAAAAAAAGAAAAATACAAATGGAACATAAGCTCATAAGATGCTCAATCTCATTAATCAGTAAGAAAATGCAAATTTAAAATACAATTAGATACTAACACATACTAAAATGGCTAAAAATTGGTAGGCTATGAAGCTATTGGAACTGGCACATACTACTGGTGGGAATATAAGAGCACAACCACTTTGAAAAACATTTTGGCAGTTTCTTATAAGTTAAACTCCTCATAAAACCCATCAATCCCATTCCTGTGTACTGGGTGTATGTCCACACACAAACTTGAACATAATCACCCAGAGCAGCATTATTCATTATATCCAATACGTATATTTCATTTACATGACATTCTAGAATAGTCAAAACTAATTTACAATTAAAGAAAGCAGATCAGTGGATGCCTGGAGCAGGAGGGAGCATTAGGGGTTAGTGGAAGCACGAATGATGAATGACTGACTGCAAAGAGATATAAGGGCACTTTGGGGGAAGATAAAAATGTTCTGTATCTTCATTGTGGGGTTGGTTACGTAAGGTAAATATTTGTCAAAACTCATTGAACAAATGGGTTCATTTCACTGTAAATTATACCTTAATAAAGTTGGCTTAAAAAATATATAGTTAGTAAAAAGTACCCAGCATGTATGTGGCACCTCTGACATAGGTTCTGGTAGCTTTTGCATTATAACTGAAGCAGCAGACAAAATTTCAAGTTTAGGAATAAATTTAATTATATGATTTGGTTTTCCTCTATAAAATCTGCAATGTTAATATACTTTTTTACATATAAAGTGTTTTGAAGAAGGTCAATGGTTCCAAAAGAGTTATAAACATTACTATTGTATTAAGGGGGCATGCTAGCTGATAGAATAAAACAAAACACTACAACGACTTATTAAAAATTAATATAAAGCAAGAGTAATTAAGATATCATGGTACTGACACAGAGACATGCAATTAGATCAATGGAACAGAATAGAGCCCAGAGAAAGACCTTATGTATATGAAAACTTATTATACAATAAAGATGTCATAAATCTTTATGGAAATAATAGGTTATTCAATGAATTATACTTGAGAATTGGTCATCTACATTAAAAAAATTAGATTTCTATCTCATATCTTATAAAAAAATCAATTTCAGGTAGACTGTACCTGAACACGTATGTAGGAAAATATCTTTTGATGTTAGCAATGGTTAGACTTCACAATCACATAAAAAGTGAAATCATAAAGAAAAATACTGATAATATGACTACATTAAGATTTAAAACTTCTGGGGTGCCTGGGTGGCTCAGTTGGTTAAGCGACTGCCTTCCGCTCAGGTCATGATCCTGGAGTCCCAGGATCGAGTCCCGCATCGGGCTCCCTGCTCAGCGGGGGGTCTGCTTCTCCCTCTGACCCTCTTCCCTCTTGTGCTCTCATTCTCTCTCTCAAATAAATAAAATCTTTTAAAAAAAAATTTAAAAAAAAAGATTTAAAACTTCTGAACAAAAACATCACAAAAAAGAAACAATTCTCTCATAAACCATATTCCCAGGAAAGAAAATATTTGCTCTGCATAAAAGAAAAATAATTAAAATCTCAAAATACAGTTTTAAAGGCATATAAACCAAAAAGAAAAAGACAACCCAAGAAAAATGGGCAAATGATATGAATTGGCAATTCAGAAAAAGAGAAAATCCAAATGCCAAGTTAAACATGAAAAGATGCCCCACTTCACAAATAATAGAAAATTAAAAACTAAAACCAACAGAAAGATATTTCTCAGGGGTGCCTGGGTGTCTCAGTCAGTTAAGTGTTTGCCTTCAGCTCAGGTCATGATATTAGGGTCCTGGGATCGAGCCCCATGTGGAGCTCCCTGCTCAGCAGGGAAACTGTTTCTCCCTCTGCCCCTCCCCCCATTCATGTTCGCTTGCTCTCTCTCTCTCAAATAAATAAATAAAAATCTTTAAAAAAAAATACATGAGTTCTTATCCATTAAACAAGACAAAATCTTGAAGTCTGACAATAACAAGGCAAGGATGTAGAAAAATCAGACCTCTCCTTCATTGCTCATACAAATCACTTTGGAGAGTAATTTAGCAGTAAATAATAACATTGAAGATAAGATTACCTGTTAACATAGTACTTCTACTTCAGTTTTATAATGCAGAGAACCTCCCAAACATGTATAAAATATAACATATGGATGGATGTGCATAGCATTTATTATAAAATAGAAACAAGTGCCAAGCCCACGAATAGAAAATGGAACAAAAAATATGGCATATTAATATATATAGATTTTTTTGTATCAGCACATATAGAACAGGTTTATTCATTTTAAAAGTTGCCTAACATTCTATTTATTATGAATATACTTATGCTTGTGCATGCATAATCTATTTCTGGAAGGATCTAGGTGAGAAACTGGTACAATGGTTAGTTCTGATCAGAGAAAGCTGGTGACTAGGGGATAGAGATTGCAGGGAAATTTTTCACTAAATGCCATTTTATGTTTTCAATTTTCAATTTTGATGATTTTACTTAGTCAAAAAATTATGTTAGAAATTTTAAAATATAAACCTAAATGCAAAAAGAACGGCAAAAACACGTGGGTATAATACTATTTATATAAAATTATAAAACAGTTGAAACAATTCTATTTGTTGTAGCAAAAGTACTAATACATTCATAGAAACAATAACAAATTGAAAATAATTGGAGGAGGGTAAGGAGGAGGGTGAGAAGAAAATGGGATGGTGGAGGGGCACAGTCCAAAGGCACAGCCAGGAAAACTGTTGCATGTATGGAACGAGCACTTACTACATGCCAGACACAGTGCTAAGACTTTGGAAGCATTAGCTCACTGCTGCCTCCTCCTCACACTTACCTGTGAGAAAGACAGCTATTAGCCCCATTTTCAGGTGAGGAAACTGAGGCTTTGAGAAGTGAAAGAAATCACTCATGTAAGGTCACAGGGCTGGGAAATGGCAGGGCTGGGGCTCAAGCTCATCTTCCTATCAGAACCTTGGCATGTGGCTATGTGCCCCTCAAGCCAGCCACCACCTCTCTGGGCCCATCTCTGGGACAAGCCTTACTGCGCACATTTAATGCAATACTTGGGGATGGCGGGAAATAGGATTCCACTGCACGATGAACGCTATTCTCATATACCTACATACGGGTGAGAAGAGGAGGGTGAGGAGAAGATGGGTTAGTGGAGGGATAAATAGGGGTTCTGAAATATATGTTAGGTTTCTTCTTTAACATTTTTAGGCGGGGGAGGGGCAATGGGAAAGGAAGAGAGAGAATCTTATCTCACAAACCTGAGATCATAACCTGAGCCAAAATCAAGAGTTGGATGCTTAACCAATTGAGCCACCCAGGTACCCCTCTTTAACATTTTCTAAAATACAGCAAAATGTTTAGATTTGAAAATGCTGGGCAACAGGTATAATCTCCTTTAGTATATTATTGAAATATATCATAACTTTTTAAAAAGTATATAAAGTACCTAGCATGGTACCTGGCACAGCACCATCTAACAAATGTTACTTTCCAGTCTGCAATACTTCATTTTATTATAATTTCTAGGACTTACTCTGCTAACTCCACTTTGTAAGCACTGAGTGTTGCATGAATATTCATTTTGAAAGTTGAAAGGGAATACTGCTCCTGTTAGAAGGGAAAAAAAGAAAAATACTTTAAATACCCATTACTTCAATAAATGATATACAACCACCCAAAAACCTTAGGTATCCAGGATATTCTAGGTACTGTTTTGAATTGTTTTCTGATAATTCATTTACTTAACAAATATTTATTAAACACTATGAAATGTCAGCCACTGTGTTAGGGGACGGGTTGTAAGTGTGAAAAGAGTTCAGAGATAAAAGAGTTCATGGTCTATTTTAAAAGACAAGCTCATAAACAATTACTATAAGAAAAACAAGTTATATGAGGGCTACAGAGAAGATACTAGGGGAGAGCAGACTGGGCTTTGTGATATAGAGGAAAGCTTCACAAAAGGAAATAATTCTGGGGCGCCTGGGTGGCTCAGTTGGTTCAGTGTCCAGCTCCTGGTTTTGGCTCAGGTCACGATCTCATGGGTCGTGAGATCGAGCCCTGCATTGGGCTCCACGATCAGTGCAGAATCTACTTGAGATTCTCTCCCTCTGCCCCTCCACCCTGCTCAAGCCCAGCTCGAGCTTGGTCTTTCTCTAACTCTCGCTCTCAAATAAATAAATAAATAAAGTCTTAAAAAAAAAAAAGTAAATAATTCTATCTGGGTCTTGAAGAAAAGTAGAATTCTCTGGGGATGTGAGCTAGCCAGGGAGTACAGAAGTATACTGAAAAAGGCCAAAATTAGTTTCTGATTTACTAAGCCTTTCTACCTAATAAAACTACTTCTCTCTGGATCTTAAAAGGATATAATTAAATGAGAGATGGGCCCACTACCTTTAACCCCTATAACAGACTTGGAAGGAAAGAATCAATGAAAAACTGAATCTGTACAGATAAGGGAGTGAGGGGTGCTGTAAAAAGGCTGGTCACAGAAAGGAGCTGCTGCCAATGGCTTTATACCCTTCCCTTTAGGAGAAAAGCTGAGTCCTGACCCCAAACTACTGCTTCTTCAGCACACCAGAAGGAGATGGCATCAACACTGCTAAAGCTATGGTCCAGAAGATCCCTAATTTCATTTGTCTGTCTTAAGTCATAGCCATCTTCAGAGGAAACATGACCAAAGTAGAGACACTCTTCCTTGTAAGAACCAAGAATGGGAGAACAAATTGAAGACTGAGGAACTGGTGCCATTTCTATCTTTTCTGCTTCATCTTTGCACCCAATAAAAGAGCTATTTTTTTTCCCTTTTCTAATCAGTTACTCATTTGAACACATGGAATAAAGAGGATTTTAATAGGATGCTGACATATTTATATATTAATATTTAGGAGATATATATATTAATATTTAGTAGATACATAATACATATACATATAAACCTAAGTTAAAATACAGAAGCCATTCTGGCAACAATGAAAAAAATAAAGGGTTAATAATCCAATTAAGGAAAAAGTATTCCAAAAATTTGTCCCAAATACTACTTTTATAGGCAAAAGAAAAAATCTTTAATTTTAGAAATTTTTGTTTAAATTTCCTGAAAAATGAGACTATATGTCCTAGCATAGCCCTAATCTGTAACTGTTGTTTTGTTTGTATTCATTCATTTATTCATTCATTTTTATGCTGTTAGGAATTTTTTTTAAAGGCTAATTCTCTCTCCAGCATGACTGCTCTGCAGTGATCATAATCACAGGGCACAATTTGTATTTAGAGTATCATTCTAAGCAGAAGCCAGTTAACCATGAAAATGAGACATAAAAAAAATACAAAAAGTTGTTCTCAGGCAAGAGCCATTCTTCCTACCTTTGTTAGTCTGGTACACTATGGATTCACAGACTATTAAGAGTCTTTTTCTTCGGTTTTTAAATTCTTCAAACAAACAAGATCATTAGTTTTCATTATTTCTTACCTACCATAAACAATTACTTCATATATTATTTAGCCTTTCATATACTACTTAGCCACTAAACAATTAATATTTAAAGATATATACCCCAGATTACTTACCAGGGGGAGAAGTCAGATGACGAACAGGTCTTGCTGGTTGAAGCGGTTTACCAATCAATTTTTTGGTTTCCATTATCACAAAGACCTTGAGGTTCCATACTTTAGGAAGGAAAAATGTATCTTATCTTTTCAACAAGATAATCAAGATGCTTTTATATACATACACACACACACACACATTCATTTGAAGATAATCTGTTTTATAAGTTAAGGTGGAAACCTTAGAGCCCTTTATACCATCTGTCACAATGGAACATTCGCTTTTTTGAAATATTTTCCTCCCATAACTTCCCTGACTTTTCTTTTAGTTTGTTTCCTATTTCTTTGACTACCTCTTCTAACTTCCTTGGCTTATTCCTCTTCTTTCCTCCAATTAAATTTAGAAATTCTTCCAAATTTGGCTTTGATCCTCTTCCCTGACCTCAACTATTCTGATGATTTCAACTACCTATCTACATGATAAATATACCCTAATTTATACATTTAGCATCTACCTCTCTTTTAAATTCCAATTCTATTTTTTAAGATATTTCTATTTACATTTTATCACAGACACCTCAAATTCAAGATATCCAAAATCAAATTCATTACTTTGACTCCAAAGATGTTCCTTAAAGTCTTCAACTCCCTCAGATCACATTTGGTTAAATAAGATCTAAATAAGAGCCTCCATACCATAATTAGTCTCTAATTCCTGTCCATTCTGCTTCCAAAATATTTCTCAAATCTATTTTCTTCTTTCCCACCACTACTCTTTTAGTGCCACAGTAGCACTGAATTCATCTCCCTGATCACTCAGTCTAATCTAAATACTCCCTTCTCTCCCTATGTTCATGGGACACAGTGAATATGCCTACATCATGGCATTAGATAACACTGTACTATACTATAATGACTGATTTGTCTTTTACACTTACAAAAGTGAGGAGCAGATTCTTTAAGTGAGGAACAATATTTTCATTTACACTCTCCCTGGCAACTAACACAGTACCTGGACTGGATCCAAAGTAGGTGTAACACAAGCATTTGCTGAACAAATGGGTGAATATAACCTCTTTCTCTCCAAACTATGATCCCTTTACACACACACCTACTCTAAAAACTTCAATTCCTCCTGAATGAATAATCCTCCTGGATTATTCAGAATAGAAATAGGAGCCGACATCCAAGTGTCATGCAGAGTAAACCATTTACCTAAGTTACATTATTTAAAATTCAGAATAACTCTATTAATTAGGCACAATTAAGAGTTAGAGTTCGGGTCTCAGCTTGGCCTACATGGGTTCATATTATGGTTCCAGCACCTAGTTATATAACTATGGAAAACAACAGCCTCTCTATCCTAGGTTTGATGTGAAGACTAAGTAAGATACATGTATATGCCTGGTACATAGTAATAAGAGCTTAATAATGTTAGCTTTATTATTTTTTTATAATCCTAATTTTGCAGATAAGGCTTGGAGAAATTAGGTAACTTGCCCAAGGTCCTGAATCAAGGAAGTGATTGGATGCCCATGTCCATGCTTCTGGCCAGTAAGAATCAAGAATCTTGCCCAGCCTCTCTCCTACCCCACACCCGGGCAGAATTGAACAGGTTCTGGTTAAGTACCCTTATGTGCTCACAAAATACCCCTCTGTCTATCCTCTTCCAATATGGTACTTACTGCACTAGTTGCAATTACCTATTATCTGACCATTAAATTATATTTCTTTCACACAGGTATATCTCCCGTGTCTAGCACAGTGCCTAGAACACTGTGGGTGTTTAACAGATTGTTGAATTCATAAATCTTATTTTGTTTCACCATATATTTATATGTTCTGGAGTTCTTTCACTCTCCCTGCTGCTCTTCTCCCAAAACGCTATTCATCTTTCAAGACCAAGGTCAAGTTCCTGTTACTTCCTTGGAAAAAAAAATCCTCATGTCTCAACAGTAATGGAAAATAAAGTAGTTCACCTGAAGCTTTCTAGTTCCTAACAGATAGTTGACAGTAAAATAATAATAACAATAATAACTTATCTTTCTTTCTTCTTCCACTAGCCCTTACTGCATTTTATTTATTAATTATTCTAAGATGTATCACAGTAAATCTATTACATGCCTGTTTGATTAGACTTGGTTAATTGAGGCTAAAAAAACTAGATCTTACTTATCTTTGTGTCCTAGTACCTGCAACATAATTAGTTTTACTAAATAAACCTATAAATTTAAATACCTCTTAAATATAACTAAAACCTTCTGATGCCTGAATAGGACACAGATTTCCAAATTATGGTGCCTATTAAAACAAAGCCTAAAGTAAAATTCTATCTGACTTTGTATCTGCTCATCCAAAAGCAGTTGTAACCATATGATTTTAAGCAGATCATTACCCTAAATGACTGTTTCCCAAAGTAAAGAATAGGGTTAATAACCCTTTTAGCTCCAAAGACATGCTTTCATCTATTTAAAAAATGCCTCTGGACACAATTCAGATGTTAAAATCATAAATTTATAAACAACCTCTCAAAGTTAGCACTGATAACTAAGCACAAAATAGTTACTTTTTCTTAAAGTTTGGAGATAAGCCAGCCAGTTAATTAATTAATTAGTTAATTAATACCTATCGAACTTTTGTAATGTGTCTCTTAACTGGTATTTCAACATGGCTATTAACAACCTTCTAAAAAAACTAATGCGGTCTGTACTTGTTGGCAATACAACTTTAATATAATAAGAAACAAAAGTTATAAGCATACGTAGCAAAAAAAATACTTCAAATATTGAATATGTTCTATGCAGAAGGAAAAATTTTAAATAAGGACCAAAAAGCAATCTAATATTGTGTTATTTAATGTTTATCCTAGACATAATTAGAACCCTAATACTAGTATGTAGTAACTTTCCATCCTGTTTCCCATATGAAACTAATGAATCAGAATACAATAGAGTACTTTGGCACACACTTTCTTGTTTTTCATTGCTCAGCTGAAATTGAGTTGATAGGTTGTAAAGTCCTTTCCAGTTGCTGAGCAGTGCAAATCCACAGTATTTAAACTAGGGATTTTCAAGAGTTGGGGAGTTACAGAACTATTATATGGTTTTGCAACACAAGTACATAAACAAAAAATAAAAGATCTTTTAGTATCACCCACCCTTTTAATTTATAGTAGGAAAACTAAGCAAGGGCTCCAGATATATAAATTCAAATCAGTTAAGGAAATGAGAAAAGATAATGCCAGATAGTATTTTATTTAATATTTTTTAAGTAAACTATACTTGCATAGAGATACTGATATTATACGGAATAAGTTTGGGATGCATAGTATACAAAAGCATCATGTTACGTTATTGTTAACATCATGTTAACGTTAGTGTTATTAACGGAAAAGGCAAGTATTTATAGTAATTATCACTGTAAAACTGATCCACAGGATCATAATCTATGAAGGACAGGACTCCACAAACCAAAGCCTAATTCTCAGTTTAGGTTAAAAATAATAAAGACTTAACTGAACTAACAAAATCATTATATAAAATAACTTTAATCTTAAACTCTAAAACCTGCCTCACTCACCCAATGTAGAGCTCCAAAAGTTTCCTTTGAAGCTACTAGTACTACCTAGGGTAGGCATTTATGGTATCAACTGTTAACAAAGGACAACACTTGCAAAAGAAAAAGAACCCTACTAACGACAATGGATAACAAGTAGTGGGCCAATCATGGAGTTGTCTTTTAAACTATGAATATACAGCCTTGTAGTATAAATATTTTTTAAAGAACATTTTGATCCAATGTCTCAAAAATTTCATTCTATTAATACATGCTGAGAAACAGCTACTGAATAAAGTTTTTTTCCAAGTTTACACGTATTTAAAAAATCATCTTAAAAGGCCAACTGCTAGAAATAGAATATTGGTCCGCATGTCAGGAAGCTTTAGTTGCTATTCTACATCTAGCAATACATAACTATATCTTAGGTTCCTTTTCTGTTTAAAAAAAAATCAAACTATGAATCCTAAAGACCAACCAATTCTGATATTATAAATTAGCCTAGAATTTTCTAAAATACAGTACAATGGGATAATAAGCACAGATACTGACCAATTGGGACATAATCTTACTATGCAACATATACTATTCTTTTTTAATTCAAACTCCATTTTTTGAGGTCCTATTACATGCTAAATTCTTTATAAATATTTCACTTAATTTTAAGCCATATGTAGAAAATCATTATTAGTAACCTTATAGATGTGAAACCTAATACTCAGAAAAATGAGATTCTCAAGTTCACATAGTATATATTTGGTAAAAATGAGGATTTAACTATAAAGTCATGCCCTTGTCTCTAAACTTGCATGTTTGGTAAGTAAAAGACATCTGACTCTCTAGTATTCCATGTGGACATTGCTTATTGGATTTTTTTAATGAATTATGAAAAGGGACATTTATATATAAAGACTTGCTGAATAAATTGGTAGTTACTAATAATTTCCACATCCTCAATTTATCATTTTTCTAGAATACTAAATAAATTATAAGATTACTATGCTTTCCTCCTTCTGTAGACATGGTACAGTGCCTTACTTACCATGGGTCACAACATAAGAAACATACATACCATGTACTGTATTTAGAAGCCAGATACTAAAAATTTCCAACTTAAATTCTACATTTCTTTAGAAAGTGCTGAGGGTTTTGCTGCAATTAAGAAATAAGATCAGGGGCATCTGGGTGGCTCAGCTGGTTAAGCGTCTGACTCCTGATTTCGGCTCAGGTCAGGATCTCAGGGTCCTGCGATCAGCCCTGCGTCAGGCTCTGCACTCAGAGGGGAGTCTGCTGGAAATTCTCTCCCTCTCTCTCTGCCCCTCCCCGCCACACACACAGGCACGCGTGCTCGCTCTCTCTCAAATAAATAAATGTTTAAAAAAAGATCATATAAAAAGTATGAAACGACAAAAAAAATAAAGTTTTATTAGAACACACACACAAAGATCATATAGATTAGTGGACATATACACATATATCTATAGATGTATATGCACATATATCTATATGTATACACATACATAAAGGTACATTGGAATATTAAGCCATAAAAAAGAATGAAATCCTGCCACTTGGAACATGGATGGATCTAGAGTATAATGCTATGCCAAATAAGCCAGTCAGAGAAAGACAAATTTCACTGTGTGGAATTTAAGAAACAAAGGAACAAAGGGGGGGGGGTGAAAAAAAAAACAGACTCTTAACTATAGAGAACAAACAGACGGGTACCAGAAGAGAAGTGAGTGAAGGGGATGAGAGAATAGCTGAAGGGGATTAAGAGCACACTTATCTTGATGAGCAATGAGTACTATATGGAATTGCTGACTCACTGTATTACACACCTGAAACTAATGTAACACTGCATGTTAACTACACTGGAATTAAAATAAAAAGAAATAAGATCATATAAAATTAAATAATCTGAGAAGTGAAAAGACCATGTTTTCATCTACCCCATATATATTTCCCATATGATAATCAGATAGGATTTAATCTCAATTTTCTACTTCAAAATATTATACAAAGTTAGGATTCGTTGAAGCCACATGCTGCTCGTAAGTAAACAGCACAAACTGATAAACTGATAGATGAAAAGTAATATAAAGGAAATACAGGTGAGTAAGAGATAAACCAATTATGACTTAGGTGATAAAAGATATTTTATATTCCACAAATCAGGCTGCCACATTCAGGAAAAATTTAAGCTATCAAAAAGTTTTAAAAGGAGAGAGTGTTCCATATTTTCCATTTCATGCCTTCTCTTTACAACTGATCAAAAAAAAAATTGTTTTTCTCCGTGATGTATCTTTCAACAGAAACAAAATTTAACACTTACGTTGGATAAAACTGTCTAGATAATGGGTGCTTGTGGATATGTAACTTTGCCTAAATTACCAGCAATTAAAACCTTTTGACACAAATATTGAATCATTATGTTGTAAACCTGAAACTGTTGTATGTCTATTACATCTCAGTTTTTTTAATGGCGTATCTTTACATATAAATTATGTGGTGTATCTTCATATACTTCCATGAACCATTTGATTTTCTTCTGTGAATTAACCATATATGGTTTCTTGGCACTTTTTTTTTCCTGCTGGGTTTTCTTTTCTATTGAATATAATTTCATCTAATTAATTATTAATTTGTTGTTTATTTTATTAATAAAAACAACTACAATAATGCCAAAGAAAAAAAATTTGCCCAAAATTAGTAGTGACGGTGCCAGGGTATGGGGGACAAAACGTCTTCAGACCATTCCACCACAAAGGACCAGGTCCTGGGACAGAGGGCGCTATGTACTTACTTTTTATCAGGCGTTTCTGGTTTTTGTTCTAATAAGCCCTCAGCAGTGTAACTCTCCCTCAGCCACTTGCCCCTCGCCGGGTGTTCCCACACCAGTCACCACCCTATCCTCTCGACGTGCTCGCTCCCTCACACTCTACGACCCACCTTGGGGACCCTATGGGGGCCCCTGCCTGATTTGTCCCGCCCGACCCCAGGGCCCCCCTCCCTCACAACTTCCCCGGCGTCCGACCTCAGAGACGGCGCCCACCGCCTCCTCACACCCGGCCCGACTTCTGCTCCCCCAGTTCGGCTCATCCTCCCCAGCCACTTACCGCCTCAAGATCGGGGAGGATTTCGGGGCAGCAGCGTCGCCGCGCTCACCCAAACGCGGC